AGAAAACATTGCGGGAAAAATAAATTTGACCTGAAGAATATTCGCTGCTTAAAGATTAATTTATTGGTATTTATTTATTATCAGATTAGTAATTATTAATAATCTAAAAGAATTTTTTAATTGTATTGTTTCTGCCCAAAATAATATATAAAATAAATATGGAAACAAAACATGAATTTTCATTGAAAAAATTTAGAAATACTTGCAAATTATTAATAATTAATCAATATAAATGCCATGATATAAAAATGCAATTTGCAATATTTTATTGAATTGAATAGAGTAAATATTTTTCCTATATTGGGGCTCATTCTGAAGAACCATTTCTATCCCCGAATCGCTGAAATTAATTTATAATATTAATCTATTATTTTAAATTTTTTATCTAAAACCGTTAATGCATATCATAATATGAGTAATGCACACTATAGAGAGGAACTTTACATTTTATTTTAAAAGTGTAGCAGTGTATCCATTTTTTATTGCCGAAGTAAGCTCCAGTACCGAAAATGAAAATCATTAAGCATACACAAACATCAAAAAGTAAATTACAAAAAACGCAGATGAAGATCAAAAAAGAAAATATTAATGTACACAAAAACAAGGAGAGAAACGTCGTCTAGGAAATAGCATGTAACCATTAGAAATTTCTGAAGATAAGTTTATAAAAGCATATCTAGAAACATACCCCAGTAATGTAAAGTAACCAAAAATTCTTTCATTTTGGAAGAGAAGAAAGGATTAAAATTAATAAAATACCATATTGTATATTATTATTATTATTATTATATATTATTATCTTATTATATTACAATTATTTTCTTATTATATTATAATTATTATCTTATACAATACTGTATATTATTATTATGCTAATCTTCAGTTGGTTTTTATAAAAAAATTGAGTCAAACGTTGACTGTTGATGTTATCCAATATGAGAGAATATTAACTATGTTTATTTATGTGAAACCTCATAACATATTTGATATAATAAATCAATTAGGTGAAAAAAATTTAAGTTTGTGATTTAATGCCAGCTTTTGAGACAGTATATACCAAGCAATTAGTAGCGTTTGAAAATAGACGACTTGTGTGGATGTTGGTAGTGAAAATGTCCTATGTAGGATTTACAGAAACTGCGGAAACTAAATCATCAGGAAAAGCTCTTAATAATTTGCAAATATAATGAGCTAGGAAATTACAAATTAAAAATACAATGATGAATAAGACTTAAAGAGGTTCCGTTACTGGTTAAATTAATCTAAAATTTTCTTTTTAGCCAGTGTGGGTCCGGTTTAAAATAACCCCACAGTAGCGCATGCATATCGTAAAAGACGACTAAAATGGATATCCTGTTCTCTGGGGTATAACCGGGTAGGGTAAAGTTAGACTTCTCCCTTTGGGTGCCCCATGACTTTGTGCCGCAAGACCAAGGACTAAAAGAAGCTGCATTTTTTTAACCTTTATCATGACTCATAAGGTTCTTGGGCTTGGTTTAGATGTTGCTGTCGACCAAGTGGGATAAGAAACAACAACAAAATTTCTTTTGAAATGTTGTTAAAAAATAGTATTTGTTGCAAATAAGATAAATTCTTAGAAGTTGAATATCAATGATGATACGACATATTTTAATGATGATATTGGAATTCCAGGATGTAATTTCAAGGGACTTTGAAATTAATTTCGTTTATCTTTGACGTAATATTTATAAAGAATTAAGTATATTAATATTAATATCGCGTAATCAGCTACAAATTTCGTTTATATTAGCTTTTTTTTTTTTTTTTGTATGTCAGCTGTATTGGATGCAAGCTTTGAGAAATTTGTCTGAAAATTCCGATTATTAAATTAAATGTTTGTGAATTAAACCAAAAACTTTCTTTCAAAGTATTATAAGATAATATTGATAACTATTTATTCCATTTGGATTCGCTTGAGTTAGGATTTAAAGTCTTTCTTTACTGTAATTGTAGTTATTGAAAATGCAGAGTTTTATCCAATAGACGAAAGAATAACTTTTAGAATATTATGCTAGTTATGATAAAAATTAACTTAAAATAGCTTGCAGGCTTTTAATATAGTTACATGTGGAAGCATCCTTAAAATCCTAGAGGTTCTGTTATTAGTTAGATTAATCTAAAGTTTATTTTGGTGTTAATAAATAGTGTTTGTTGCAAATGGGATCAATTCTTAGAAGTTGATTAACAATGATGTTACAACATATTGTAATGCTGATATTGGAATTGCAGGATGTAATTTCAAGTGACTGAAATCTTTTTTCTTTCTAAAATTATTTATAAAGAGTTAACTATCTTAATATTAATACCACGAAATCAGCTACAAAGTCGTTTATATTAGTCTTTTTATATGTCAGCTGTATTAGATACAAGTTTTGAGAAATTTGTCTGAAATTTCAATAGTTATGTTAAACGTTTGTGAAGTAAACTTTGACTTTCATTCAAAGTATTATAAGATAATATTAATGAATATTTTGTTCATTTTGTATTCCTTTGAGTCTGGATGTAAAATTCCTCTTTACTGTAAATATAATTATTGAAAATGCAGACTTAACAGAGTTTTGTCCAATAGTCGAAAGAATAACCTTTGGAATATTATGATATTTATGATAAAATTAACTTAGAGCATCATGCAGACTTTTAACATAGATTCACATGGAAACATTCTTAAAAATAAAAAATATATCTATAAACTAAATATTTTTAATTTTCAAATAAAAACTTTTCAATATAAATGAGAACTAAATCAAATAGGTATTTTGTGAAATTTCGGATAAATGGCTAAATAAGGAAATTTGATGCGAAAGTTATTGACTTCAATATATACATTAACTGTCGCTTTAGTAGATTTGTTAGTAAAATAACTATTAAATTCTTCATCTAGAAATTTGAGATAGTAAAGCCTACAGATCGGGGTATATTTGTTGGAGGCTTAATAAATGTTTGAAATAATGCATATGTTCCATAGAGTTGTTTTTATTATCTTAATTAGTAACAGGTAATTATAGGAAGATAAGGATTTGTAAGAATGAAATTGGAGTATTCTGATCTTTTTTAATTCCTTATAAATAATTGATTTCCACTTAATGAAAAAAAAAAACAGAAGAAGCAAATGACATTTTTCGGAGAGAATGCATCAATTTTGATTAATAAATATTGCAGAAATAATCATTATGTTTGTAAGTTCGCCTTGCAGTTAGTTACAGGAGGATTTTTTTCATACAATAGCTGCATTTCAATTTTTGTCAAATAATATATATATATATATATATATATATATGTGTGTGTGTGTGTGTGTGGGTGTGGGTGTAAGTTATGTCCTTATAAACAAAACAAGTAATATAAAAAAAATTTAAAGTCAATTCCTACTTTTTTTGCACTTTATTGCAGAAAGTACTTTATAAATAATTTTCATTCATTTTTTAAGTTTATCTAGAGCCATCTATTGGCAGATATATACAACTTAAATCTAAAAAAAACTAAAATTAATTAATTTAATTTAATTACTGAATTAATATTTGAAAAAACTGTATTAACATCAAGTGTCATCCACTACAAGTTCAAAAAACATTTATTTGAACTTGAGTGGATGAATAAAATGTATTTTATTAACAGAAGAAAATTTGAACAAGATATATATAGGGAGAGTGTGAGCTAATAGAAGGAATTGAATAAGAAAATAAGAAAATGTTTTGATGAAAATAAAAAAAAATAAAAAAGCTTTTGCAAAACAAATAAATAAATATATATATTTGTTTTGCAAAAGCTTTTGTATTTATACATAAGTGTATATATATGAATATATGCATCTTTTTATATATTTTATATTGCTAAGCTAACAGTTAAGCTTACGATATGGATACATTATGAATTTTTAATTGCATCTTTAAGCAATTAATGCATTACAAGAATGCGATAATGTTCAAAGAATTGTGGTAATGTGTATATTTATCATTCTTAAATGCGGAATAAATATCAAATAATATTTCGCATAGATTCTGGACGATATGAAAATAATAATGAATTGTATTGTGCAATAATATCAAATGTATTCCAATAATATGAATTAAGTTAGCTTTTATAATTACTTGAATAAAGCATAATTAATGTAAATACATTATATGAAAGTAATATACATATAAGTTTTAAATATTTTAAATGAAAATCCATTAATTATTACTTAAATAAATAAATCTTAAACTCCTAGTTTTTAAAATGCTTTTCATTTCGATTATCAAAACACACCTTAATTTTAAAACATCACTATACATATCAAGACTCAATTAAAGCGGAATTCCGCAAATATATTTGTAAAGAATTGAGTATTTACTAATGTATTACTGATTTTAATTATTCACAACATTTATTTTAATCATTTTAAATTCTATTAAATAGTAAAAAAAATCACTATCAACAATGTCTTATTTATAAAATTTAAAAATTTAGTTTAAAAGCTTTGCTGCTAAAAACAGAACTTATGTAAGAATTGACATCTATCTTATTTACAAAAATTTATTCTTTAATATCCTACCCTTTAAACATTTGTAACTTTATCAAGTACAATAAGCATATACTTTTAGAAGTAATTAATAATTTTCTCTTTTGAAATGTTGAATAATTATTTAAATATTATATGAAGCTTTCAATTTCTTTTAGTGAATTTAAACATTAAATTTTTAATTTTAAAATATAATTATTCACAAATGGAGAACCATCTTAGATATACCATCTTACAAATTTTAATTTCTTAAGTTTTAATATCATGGAAGTAAAATTTATATATATACATATATATATATATATATAGAGAGAGAGAGAGAGAGAATACAGTAGTCAGCTGAAACTTTAAAAGAACCTGTGAGTCTTTAATGGGAAGCTGACTACATGATTAATCAAATGGCAAATGTTTGTCCTGAAGGGATATCTAATTATTTGAGACCACATTCTATCAGGCAAATCTTTGCAACACTTTGACAGATGTGAACCTACAATGGTCGTTACTGGCGACTGGGAATCAAGGTTCAACTGCCAAAAAATTCCTCTTACATCTGAAGGAGATAGCAGTCGTACAGATTACGAACTTACAAATTTCAATTTGGGAATATAATGATGAAAAATAACAATATGGGATTATTTTGAAACCTCACAGTTAGAATGGGTGTACTCTAAATCCTTTGGATTCGATGATGCATTTAGACTATACCAGAAGCTGCAGTGATTTTAGCTTCAATAGCGTATATTAAACTTGTTTGCGGTTAGAAAGTTCGTAGTTAGATCTTGTCCAGATGGCACACCAGCATTATTATTAGATTCTGTTGATGATATGCCTCAGTCTTTTGTGTGACTGGCAAACCTACTTCAAAAACAATAGTGTTTAATACCTTGTGGATGACGGGGTGATGGGTGATGCTTTTTGAATTATGGACAAATTTACTTTGAAAACATTAGAGTGGTCAAAGCCTTTTGGATAACAGGGTGATGGGTGATGCTATATGGGTGACGGGCAAATTTACTTTGAAAACATTAAAGTGGTCAAACCCTTTGGATAACAGGGTGATGGGTGATGATTTATGGGTGACGGGCAAATTTACTTTGAAATCATTAGAGTGGTCAAAACCTTTTGGATGACAAGGTGATGGGTGATGGGCAAATTTACTTTGAAAACATTAGAGTGGTCAAAGCCTTTTGGATGACAGGGTGATGGGTGATGCTATATGGGTGACGGGCAAATTTACTTTGAAAACATTAAAGTGGTCAAACCCTTTTGGATAACAGGGTGATGGGTGATGATTTATGGGTGACGGGCAAATTTACTTTGAAATCATTAGAGTGGTCAAAAATTGTTGGACATCTGAATAATGAATAATAGAGGGAATAATCAACTAGGATCTTGTTTTTATTCTGTTGATTTCTGGATCACGAAGTTCAAAATGAAGTTCAGAGGCTGGCAAAATACAAAATACACTAGTCATCCAAAACATTACAAATGTTTTGGATGTTTTGGGTGTTATTATATCTGGACGTTAGTAAAGTAAATTTAATTGCAGGATTATTTAAACGGACGATGTTTATCTTGAAATGATAAATGCTTAAGACCACGATCAGTCAGACAACACTTCGCTTCATTCAACGCATGATTTCAACAAGACATTATCGAAATGTTATGAAGTATATATATATGATATATATCAGACGATTGAATAAAGCCGTTTAGGAAACAACTAATTTTTCAACTTTTTATGATATAAAGCAGGCTAGAATATTTTAAAGGCTGTCACAAAGACAAAATAAGGAGTTAAAAGGTCAAGGTCTTTTGATGCAGAAGTTTTCATATGAGTAGATACAGATCTTCTGATGGTGCGTTTACTAGAAAATTGTGTCGGAGATATCTTTACTAGAGATTGTGTCGGAACACGAAGTCCATCATAAATATATGTCTTTGGTACTGATGAATTAGGCATCTAACCTTTCGTAAGCTTATGTTAAATTGCGTTTTATAAATGCATGACTTATGAAGTGGGTACATATGGCGAATATATTTGAAAAAAATGGAAGACAATTTCATGAACTAAATAACCTAATTTTGCTTTACATTATTTGGAATAGCATGTCCATATGCCGAGTTTCTGAAAGAAGATTCAAAGTTGACTTAACGAATAGATAAAAGTTAATAGTAGAAATATCATGTTGTCACTATGTTTTACATGACAAACATTTGTTTCTAACCTCATTATGTAAATTCACATGTCTTTATCTATTTAACCATCTTGTACACCAGTTACATACCTTAATATGCATTGCGCTCCCACATGGCAATGATAGGCATCCTAGCTCTTTGATGGCCTTGATCATTGACACTCTGTAGAAAACTAGAATAGTGCGAAGAACATAGTTAATTTTTTAACGAAATAAATGTCATAGTTAATTTAAAAACATAGTTAATTTTTTAACGAATCATAATTCTTTCCACATGGGTTCTTGGAACAACGATGGTTTCATTTAAAATACTTTTTCAGTAATTAATATGGAATTAAGCAGATTCCAGTGGAGATTCCAATAATATTTCGCACCATATGCGTGATATTTAGTGAATACATTATAAATGTGTAACTGCATGCGTATTATTAGACATGTAAATTATTATAGCAAACAAATATAGATTTTTTAAAAAAAATTTCTGTATAAGTTGACGTTTGATTTTTTTCGTGCTGGTGACCAAAGCTGAAGTGAAGTAAGTAAAGAATGAAATACGTATGGAAAAAGATAAATATGCGTTACAGAAAGTAGTGATGAGATAAAATATATTGAAGCATGTTAAAAAGATGGTATAATAAATTAGCAGTTACAAAAATTAAATAATTAATAGGTTAATCCCGTCGTGTAATTAATTGTAATGACAATAAACGTAAAATTCTTAATTCCGAATTTTACATTTATACGGAAGAAATAACTTACTACAACATCACAGTAAGTAATTTACACTAACCTATCATTTATATACAGTCAAAATACAAAAAAAAATAACATCTAAAAGATTATTTATAATGCTAGCTTTCTTTTAAAATAGAAAAGATAAGGTGTTTTAAATAAAATCTCGTATTTAAAATCATATACCAATCACATCAGAAAATGTAGTAGCTCTCGAACTGCGAAGAAAAATACAGCAGTAGAATTACAGTTGGTGATGAAAACGTTTAATTATAAAAATTGGATAATTTTATACTCATATTTTTTTTACAGTTATTTCATTTAAAATTGTAAAGGTTTTAAAATTCTCCTGAAAATTATAATTCAATTTGAAAAACAAAATCTAATTAAACGGATTACCTATTTTGGACATCGAAAATTTCTTTTCGCAAGATGCAAAAATTGCTTGCATGTAATTCCCTTGAAAAGGACAAAGGGACAATTATAAAAGCTAAAAGATAAAGCTAAAGCTAAAGTTAACTTTCATCCATCACGACACTAATACACAGCCCAACATCATTTAAATCTTCTCAAATGTGAGAGATTCCTCAAGAGTCAGTGACAAGTACAAATTACTGCAGTTGTCACATTGAAAAATAAGATCTCCAGGAGGATTTTTAAGGATCAGTACGCCAAAGAAAAAAAACAGAGCGACAGGAACTTTATCATTAATCATATTTGATCATCCCTCTGGCTCATTTCGATTGAAAAGACGGTAAATGTAGATTCATTGAAAAACATTAGTGTTAGTTTACAAGAAGTTTTCGAGCAGTCATCTAGTATTTATTAAGTTCAACGTTTCGTAGGGTACGTTTTTGTTGTTTTCGTTTTCAAGAAAATTAAGTGTCTTAGAAAGGTTGTCTTAATTTGTTAGTGGTTTGTTCTGAGGAGCTTTGATTAATGTTTACGGCGAAGTTTTGTCACTTAAATGGCATGCATGTGTTTTTGAAATGTCAAAAGAAAAAAAAATACAAAAGAATGGGAAAAGTACTAGGAAAACTGCTTTATTTTAAAACTTATGTTGTTCCTTTTCACATTTTTGCTAGACTCTTAGTAACGACTATTTTATATATTTCGAAATTATGCATACGTACTTTTTTGTAGTTTCAAGTTCGTAAATATATGATAACTAATTTCTAAGTAAATAAATAATAATTAAAATTATTTATCAAAAAACTGTTGCTTTTTCTTTATCAAATAATTGAAATACATTTTTACTTTATAAAATGTATTTTACAACATAGACGAAAAATAAAATCTAAAAAGGTAACTATAGATTCATATAAATAAAAAACTTTTCTAAATATTAAACGTTTTTCTGGAATTTTTTAATTTCTTGCATCCATGGATTCCTCATTATTTCATTTTTCTCATGAAAAATTTACAAAAAAAGTTTAAGATATTTTTAAAGTATTCTCGTATATATAGTCTGCTTTGATAAACTCTTTCATACATGTTTGTCCTAGTACACTAGTTTATATAGCTTGATTAACTCGAAATTAATAGTTTTACGTTAGCAAAAATATGATTTTACAGAAATACCAAACAAATTATATATATTCTAAAAAATATTCTATTTGTGGTCCTGAAATAATTAAAGCTATCATAAGCCTCATCTACATGGATTTATATTTAAATTAAGGTTACAGTTAAGACAATGTTGAAGTCATCTGATACTTGAAACATTCTGATGCTGAAATAAACTGGTGAAATAGTCGAAATTTTACAAAATATCTCTCGTACACTTAAAGAATAAAATAATATTCCCCTCAGTTTTTCTTAAGAATATTAATTTTATCATTATTCTCTGCAAAAATTAACTAAATAAAGATCTAATTAGGTTAGCGAAATACGTAAGCCCGGTTTCCCTTAGTTTTTAATTTATCATGCTTTTTATTTTTCAAACAGCAGACAAATTGGAATACAATTCTTGGTCCCAAAGGTTGAAGCAAATGCAAAACATTTTAGGAAACTTAGTAAAGAGCAAGAAACAATAACTTGATAATATACTATTAACGTAAAAAGACAAAACAAATAGAAAATACAAATAGAAATGAAAAGTAAAATACATAATTTATATCTGACAGGACTCAAACACATTCTCAAGTCGATATAAATGTTTAATGTTATACTAAAAGCAACAGTTGTCTAGTTTGAAGTAATTTATCTAGAATAATAGAACCCTTTATTTTGTTTATTTATTTATTGAGTGAGATTGGGCAAAATTAGAGAATTTTCTTTATTTGCTTAATTGTTTTAATTAACTTTATTAAAATAAGCTTCAATAAGTGAGGAATTGGTGATCTAAAGATTTTTTACTGGATGTTTACATTTATTGGTTATTGTTGAATTTATTTATTCTTAAAATATATTGATTTAATTGAATACTATTTCGTAAATAAATTTTGCATTGATTTGTGAAATATTCATACATAAATAAATCAATGACTATAAATACGGTATATAATTCATACTTGATAAAAAAATTCTCCTAAAAAATAAACTTCAAACGTTAATACAGTGAATTCTATCTTTTGTTGTAATTTTGGAACATTCTTCTACTGTTATCTAGTAAGAAATTGCTTTAAAAACAATAATTGTTACTTTACAATATTATAATTCACTACAGGACAATAAACAATTAACGGAATAAAATTAGTAGCCATTCAAAACAATAATCCGGAGCAATATTTGAATTTATTTCGGGATTATTATGTAAAAATATAAATTAAAACTAAGCATTCAAAATATACTACTGAATTTCCTGAGTATTCAAATATATCAATGACTTGTTGAAGTATTCAAAATATATTTACTAAATATTTAAAATATATTATTGATTAAAAAATTCATTCAATTAAAGTCATATGATATGCTTTTAATCCAAAATAATCTTCAAGAAATTCGAGAATGAGAATAAAAAATAAAAGAATTAAAAAATGTCCATTCATAAATTTTATATTTTTAACCTAAAGCATTATTAATAAATATCTTG